GAATTCTGACTTTAATCTCAGAATTCTGACTTTAGTCTCAGAATTCTGACTTTAATCTCAGAATTCTGGATCTTAATGTAGATGTGCACCATAAAGGAAGAGATGTGGAAGCACTCAGCTTCACTGACAAAGATGTGAGTTATTTGAGGCGGCCAGATACACATTGGTGGAAAATGACGGAATTAGGCAACTTTTTACGTGCCCGAGGGTCCCCTCATTAATGGAGGAGCAGAAGGTCATTAAAACAAGAGAGCTAGTCTCTAAAACAGACATGGCTACAGCTTGATGCTGACATGTTTGTTAGCTGTCAGAATTCTTCCGTATCGACGCGCTGATTAGCCTGCAAAAACCAATTGAGGAAAGCTGGAGCTCATTGCGGCCCTCCATCAGCAGATCCCAAAGAAACTGGCAACTCAAAGAAAAAATAAATTAATTGCATCTTGACAAAAAAACAATCTGACAAATAAAGTTAACTAAATGTTTTCACTGCAAAAAGCTAACTTAAAGTCAGGCAAATTAAAATTTATATAAAATGTGCAACTCATTTTGAAAATGAAAAATGTAAAAGTTACCACACAGCTTCAGAGTGAGACAGCAGGCTGTCGAAATATTGAAGATGTGTGAAAATTCTAGGAATAAAACTCCTCCCAACTCTTCAGTTACATAATCAAACACCAAAAAACGGCAAGAAATTCAAGCTTTTAGGTGAATAATTGGATTCCTTATAATCAGTCCCACAGCATCACACACCCTATTTAACAGTTGACGGGAGGGGAGGGGCTTTCTCACTTTCAGATTAGTAAACTCCAGTTTTAGGTTTGTGATGTAGGACAGAGATGAGCTTAGATCCTCTTATAGGCTAATTTTGCGAAGATTAACAAATATCTCTTTTTTTTTTGCTTTGAAAAGAAAACACCAGAAAACAGACATTAGATGACTATTAAAGGGGAAGCATCTTTTTTAAAACTGAGGTATTAATAAAAAAAAGAAACATTCAGATGGGTGTTTTTTAGGCTTTTATGCATGGAGATTTATTTACCGAGGATACTTTTGATCATACTTTCAAACATCTGAGTAAAACAGCTTGTTATTGGTATGAAATCAACCCGTTTCCCCATCAGGACATGCTGATGTTTCTGTACCACGAGGGTTCCTGGACCCGAGGGATCTTCCGGCGCTCAGCGGGAGCCCGGGCCGTCAGAGAGCTGAGGGAGTCTCTGGATGGCGGACAGCTTCAGCTTCCTCTCACACGGGAGCACATCTTCATCATCGCCGGAGTCTTCAAGGTACGGAGCCGCTCCATCTTCCAAAAACAGTTCCACCACTGTCACATTTTCTGACCTTAGAATAATAAATCCACACCAAGTAATGCGTTGTTTGAACTTTTTATTCTTGTTGCATATAAAATCTGAAAAGTGTGGCATGCATTGAGTCAG